TTGGCAACTTCTTAATGATACCAGCCCTATTTTCCACCTATAAAAGTCCTGGTATATTTTGAACAATTGTTTTGTGAACATTTTTTATAGGAAAGAAACTTGTTTTAAACCTGGTTTGGTTATTAAAATTATTCAAATGTGTGCATTTCATATTTAGTTTGTGTAGGTAGTGGTTTAACAAAGAAATACTGTTTCATGTGCAATATCAATTAGAGAGTGAGCCTATGATTCTCAGTCCTATCCTTGTGTCTCTATGGGGTCTTATGAAATTGTTATTAGAATCTTGATCACAACACAATAAAAAACTATATGATTATATTCCAAAATTGTTCTGTCATGTTCAAAATTAGATATGGCTGTAGCTTGATGCAACAGTTGTCATTGCTCTTTTCCTGTCTCATATCCAGACCAAATATTTATCAGACTCAAACACTTTACATATTTCTGTTCAAGTAGATTATAAAAATGAGTGTGGTGTGATGGTTGGACTTGTTCAATGACCCAAGTAGTAAATACTGACCAGCTAACGCTCATACTATATACATGGAAAAGGCAAACAGCATTAAATGGCAAAGCTTGATTACAGTATTGGCACTTTTTATTGCTAAAACTCTTGGATTAGTAATAGAGGTTGCTGGGTTCTTGATATTTGACTCATCAGCTGCTAAAACCTTATAGAGTTCAAATAAAAGTATACTGCATGTTTCTTGTTTTAGAGAGAAAGTAGCTCTTATTGACCAACTCAGACCACTGTGTGCTGTCATCACAACATTCTATAGGCCAATAATGTTTGGATGGGGAGAGGCAGCTGAATGAATATAGTTCAAATGCAGATTTTTGTTGTAATACTGTGAGTTCTTAGGTCTAGTTACTAATAGAAATGATTTATTCATTTATGAATTTATCTTTTGGATATTTCATTAATTTCTTAATTAGGCCTGTAACGATAACAGATTTTGCTGGATGATTAATTGACCAAGAATTTATTGCGATAAACGATAATATTGATATTTTGAGACCAATTTCAACTAATATAATGACCATGGAATAAAAATGCAAATACATCTTCTCAATGATCAATAAACCTTACTTTCTAAAGAACATTTAACACAGGAAGTGTAAAACAACCCAAAATAATAGGCCTAAATAAAACAGACTTAACATAGGTCTAGTCTAATGTGTCTGGCTGACAGCAAGGACTTGTTCACAAAAATGCACTTGAATAAACCACTGCTGAACCAAATACAACCAAAGCAATAAATAAAATGGATTATTAAGTCTGTGTAACAAAATTGCCCTTAAAAGTTATTTTAGTCCCTGACTTACATTGGTATATTGTGGCCCCTCTCTCTGTGGCTGCTGCTGTGGCCTCTGCATTTTGGTCTTGAAGTGTTCACGACACAGGAAACTATTTCGCTATGAGGGAGCCTCTGTCCTGTCTGGTGTCATGTCGGTTTCTTGTGGGGTTTGGGGATTTCGGGCTCTCCCGGGCGCTAGGCTAGTTCTGTCGCTCGGGTTTGGGTTTATGTTGGCTGTTGGGGTTTGAGACATTTCTTCTCGTCGTTGGCACGCTCGCTGCATTTGACGCATGTGGCTGTTGAAACGTGTCCCATTCACTCGTGTTGTTTCGGCATCTTGGCTTCTTTTGGCACACAGTGATAAACAGTTTTGTCACTCTGACAGCAGCACTAGCTTGTGTTGTTAGCGCACCGCACAGAAATTGCGCATTCGCTGTGTTGATAAACAGCGCACGTAGTTCAAGCGTCATTACGCTTGATAAACCAGAGGAGTCAGAGAGCGATAGAAGCTTCTAACATTCAGTCTTTTTGAGAGCGACAGAGAGCGAGAGAGAGTGAGGAAAACAAACAAGCACGCAAACAGAATTTATCTTGGCTGGAAAAGTTATCGAGCTCATTAAAAGTTATCGTACGATGAATCGATTTATTGATTATCGTTACAGGCCTATTCTTAATTTAAAAAATCTGAAAACCAACCAGAAAAATGTTATCAATCATAGGTATTACCAGTCCTCGCTAGTAATATAGAGCTTGGGATTGTATCATCCTCACACTTTTAGTATTTTTTTTAGTTAGCCTAATATTAAACCAATGAAAATTTGAAAAGATGCTACATTTCATTCAAAAGTATTCTGACATTATAATGTGATTTAGCAGTAGTGACTCAGCAGTCCTGTTTTTTTGTTTTTATACAGTCTTTGCTTATGCATCCAGACCTCTGTGCTCTACTTCTGCTTTGACTAAGCTGTTCCCAATTACTATGAAGTGAGTCTGTATTGACTCAAGTGAGAATCTGCAGAAATGTTTATGTCATAAATTCTATTATTTTGACCTGGATGCGTCATGAAGTACAGTCTTATTGAATACCAGACAGTCTTTGGGCTGTGGCTCTGAAACAGTCATCTGTTGCTCTAATACAAATGAGACTAAAACCAGATTCATAATAATGTAAAATCGTCTTGACAGAAATTAAAGTTGCACTATGTAACATTTCTGGAGAGGGGTCGTCTTTTACTAGCCTGATTCATCAGCCTGTTTCACTTCGTGGAAACCGTCTGACCTTGCAGCGTTTGAATTTGTTCGCTCTGCAGTTAACGGGTTTTTTTATTTTTTTTTATTTAACCAATCGCAGCTATTTGGCCGTGATGTATGTAATACGCTGCTAATGGGGCTAACTGGTATATTAAGCTGTTCCCAAATCATGTAGGAAGAAGGGTAATAATGTCTTTCCCCTTGATAAAATTCACCAAACATTCTCTTTGTTCTGACTTTAAATCCTTGATGTTGCCAACACAGAATGTATGGCACTTCGCTGATGAACTCACTCTTCCAGGGTTTTTGCAAATCGTCTACTGTATTCAGATTCCTGACCTAGTTGCTGGAGAGAAATGAAATTGACTGGAGGCACTAGGTGGCGCCAGCCTGGCTAGTCTACTTCCTGTTTGTGATTAAACTTTTCCATCATACATGAATTGTTAAAACAAATACCTAGAAAAACATGCAATCTTACTGTGAGGTGGGTCGCCTCTCCACAGATCTGACATGTAAAATGGCTTGTCACTTACTACTCTTCTCCCTTTAATGCGATACTGAGGAACACTCCAGAAAAAGCAATAACATCTCCATAGACAGTGTTGTAATCCAAATATGGGTCTTTTAATTTTTTTTTCTGCTTGACCTAAAGTTCATGTTTTTACGCAACACCTTTAAAATGTCACCAATAACACGAGGACAGGTGTGAAGAGCTGGGAGAAAGGCTGTAAGTTCAATTCATAATCAGGTACTTTTGTGTAGGGTAAGTATAAAAAATAATCATAGTTGTATTTCGATCATTGTAAGTTAGACTACCGACTACAGCACACTTTATACAAGGACAGTGGCATTATGAAATCAAAATGTCATAAATGAATCAAGTATTCCTGATTCACAGCAGCCTGAATTCCTTAACCAAGTACTGTTGGTTGGCCTGTATTGGCATGTTTACACTTGCACATGTAAACACCAGAATTAGGTCTGAACCGGGACTAAAGCTGAAACTAAACCTGAACTAGACCAGAACTAAACCAGGACTAGAATAGAACCAAACCAAGTCTATATCAGTACTAGAGAAAGGGTGCGTAATGCAGCTATATAACTTTTTGGTTGGTCACTTGCTTGTTTCTGTGGATATGCCATTAGTCTGCCTGGAATGTTCCACAGTATGACATCAAACATCTCTACCTTATATTTATTCAATTACAGGTGGTTTTATAGTTCAAAAACAACATTCCAACTGTGAGTGGGGTTGCCTCTCCACAGATCTGACCTGTAACTTGTTCTGGTTTGGTCTTCATGAAGCTAGAAAGGTTTAATACCATACTGTGAAACATTACAGACAAAGCAATGACATCTCCAAGGAGAAAAACATTTGATGGACCCTCCACCAGAAAAGTGATACAGTGCACCTTTAAAGGTAGAAAATAGATTCAGACACAAAAACATGAGAGAGGTTATAGGCATTTTATAGTCTATTTTTGCCATATCACCAATCCTAGTGTCTAGACTAGCCTCATAGTTAAATAAAGGGGGGCTCAGGTGCAGTGTGGTTTACTGTGAGGGGTAAAACAGCTCTCTATAATTGAGCGTTTTTGACGAGGGCAGATCTGAGGCACGACAAAGGCCATGCTCGACTCAGTGTGGCCACCAAATTACCCACAATTCCCTTCACCTGTCCTCTCTTCCCTACACCAAACACTGTACATAAAAATACGTGGAAATTCAACTGCATTCATTTGATGTCCCTTAGTTCAATGCAGTTAGGAGGTATTCCTGTAATAATATGTTGTTTTAATTAGAAATGTCCTCACAGGAAATCCACTCATATTGAGCATTTCTATTATTGACCAGACCCAAGAACTCACTGTATCACCTCAAAAATCTGCATTTTATCTTTATTAATTTGACCTGCTCTTCTTGTCTTATAGAATCTTGTGATATCATCTAAAACCCAACAATAGCTTATTAGGAATGATTCCGGCTTAGTAATTGCTTAATTCATACTTGAACCCTAACTTCTAACCCTAACCCATTAATGAAGTAATTACAATGAATCAATATTTTTTGACAAACCAAAAGATTTGAATATATAATATATAAAAAAAAAAATAGCTGGACTTTTTTCCTTTGCTACATAATTCCATATATCTTTGCCATGGATCCTACATGAATGACTAAGGGATTACTTGAACTACGTCATATACTGTATTTGATGTCTTCTGTGTATATACAAAATGTAAGAATACTGAAAGTTTTGACTGGAAGTGTATATGGAATTCAGAGAGACCAGTGTCACAAAATGGCTGCCCCTAAAATCTGTTACGGTGTTGTTGTTGTTGTTGTTTTTTTGTTTTGTTTTTTGTACATCATTTTTAATTAAAAGTAAGATTATTTTGCAATGCTTTTTAAAATAAATATATTGCTTGTTTTTGTCTCTTCTCTCCGCAGAATCAAACACGCCAACATTGTTTCGCTGGAGGACATTTTCGAGAGCAAGACTCATCTTTACCTGGTCATGCAGCTGTGAGTGTTTACAATCTTCATAGTTTTCCACCAAGAAAATTTGACATTTCAGCTTTAAAATTTGCTTTCAAACTGGTTTTAAAAACACACAGAACTATTACTAACCAGGAGTTTTACCCCTGACATAGAACCGCTCTTCTCTGTCAAATGGAAGACCTAAATTGTTGCACAGGATCTCTATAACTGCCCTAATCACATTTATATTGACATGTTTTGATAATGCCCTGTCCTATTCTCTCTTTATCGCTTTGTATCTCCCTGTTTTCATTCCTTCCACCCTCTCACTCTCTCCCTACTCACACCCCTCTTTCCTTCTCCTTCCTCTACCTTCACTTCCTCTCAGTCCCCCTTTCTCCATCCCTCCTTCTCTTCCGTCACTTACTCATCTGTTTCTTCCCCCCCCTTCCCTTTTCACTTTCCCTAATCCTTTCTTCTCACACCTGCCTCCTTCTCTCTATCACTCTTTCTCTCTTCTTACATCTGCTTTCTACCCTTCCAGACCCCTCTTTCTCTTCCACTTACCCCTCTTTTTCCTCTCTCCTCTTTGTCTTGTTTTCTCTCTCCTGCTGCTCTTTTTCTCTTGCTCCTCTCCATCCTTCCCTCTCTCCCTCACTCTCCTCTCTCTTGCCTTTCTCCTCTTTGTCCTCCCCTACTCTCTCTCACCCTTTTCTTTCTCTCTCCCTCTCCCTCTTCCTCTCGCTCTCCTTCTCTCCCTCCCTGTCACCCCCCCTCACTCTTGATTTTAATTGCAGCCTGTAGTTGCTGTACAAAGGGCTGGTGGTGGTCTCAGGTGGGGGCAGCTCCACCCTCCTCCAGCTCAAATGTCAAAAGAAAAGAGCAGCACATTTAGAGGAGCCTTCTGCAAATACATCAATCATTCATATGATTATCAAAGAAAAGAAGCACAGGGGCAAAATGGGGGATCTAGGTTATTGAATTTGTCTAAAGAAGGTCTAAAACAGGTCTAAACCAGGAATAAAATTGGACAAAACGCTGAAACAGGACAGAGCCATGTGTAATGAAGTCTAAATCAGAACTAAACTCTGACCTTAACAACACCACACTCAGTATATTAGCTCTTAACAAATAAGAAATCCCAAAGGATTTCAGGGTGCAAAACTGGGTCAGAACCAGAACTAAACTATGTGTTATCATGTCTAAACCTGAACTAAACTCACACTTCACTACTAAACCCCGTTCCAAACCAGGTCGAAACAAGGTCTAATTCAGGACCAAACTAGGTCTAAATCAGGACTAAACCAGCACTAAACTAGGACTAAATCAAGTCTAAACCAGATCTAAACCAGGAATAAGCCAGGAATAAACCACGTCTAAACCAGATCTAAACCTGGACTAAACCAAGACTAAACCAGGTCTAAATCACGACCAAACCACTTCTAAATCAGGACTAAACCAGGTCTAAACCAGATTTAAACCAGGAACAAACTAGGACTAAACCAGGCCTAAACCAGCACCAAGCCAGGTCTAAATCAGATCTAAACCAGAACTAAACCAGGTATAAAACAGGTCTAAACCAGGACTAAGCCAGGCCTAAACAATGACCAAACCAGGTCTAAATCAGATCTAAACCAGGACTAAACCAGGTCTAAACTAGGTCTAAACCAGGAATAAGCCAGGAATAAACCAGGTCTAAACCAGATCTAAACCTGGACTAAACCAAGACCAAACGAGGTCTAAATCAGGACTAAACCAGGTCTAAACCAGATTTAAACCGGGACCAAACTAGGACTAAACCAGACCTAAACCACGACCAAACCAGGTCTAAATCAGATCTAAACCAGAACTAAACCAGGCTAGGGATGTGAATATTTGGCAAAAACACTATTCGAAAATCAATGACAGCTATTCGAATATTATTCGAAAATCGACCCCCCCTTCCCCCGCCCGCACACACACGCGCATGTACGAGATGACAGATGGGGTATTTAAGCGCAAAAGTTTTAATCAAACAGCAACCTTCCAAATCAGAAATGAGCATCTTAATTGAGCAACCCACATATGAAACAATATGAAATTATATTCAAGACTATCTCAATTTTAAAAACGCATGACCAAGCACATACTGTAGCCCACTGCGCTACTTTCATTGAGCTGCCCGCTGCAGAGACTCGCTCCGATGGCACGGACGTCGCAGACACACCTAAGTAAGCGCTCGCTAACTTTGTCAATCGAGGGTATTTCTGTTTGTTTGTTTTCCACCATGTCATCGGGTCAGTGTGGAGCAAGGGGCATATCTCCTGGCAGTACTGAGTTCATTTGCGCATGTTCCCGTGTTTCGGCGTGTTTCGCTCTCAGATGGCTCTGCATGGGAGTGGTTGATCTATGGTTTGCTAGCTTCACCTGACAGATTTTACACTGAACCTCTTTGTCATTTAACAAAGTAAATGACGACCATACGGAACTTTTACTTGCTTCTGCATTGCTAATGCCGCGCGATAAGTTTTCTTCTTCTGTTATTCCGGAGCAGCCTCTACACTCGGCCTGGTCTACCGCGCCTACAGGGACTTTTACAGTCTGTTAGCGCCACCTTCTGGCCGAATGCCGTACATGAAATATTGGTTAGGAAACGTCTTTATTCGAAATTACTATTTGAACGTATGACGAATATTCGACTATTCGAAAATCATGTCTCATCCCTAAACCAGGCCTAAACCAGATCTAAACCAAGTCTAAACCAGGTCTAAACCAGGCCTAAACCAGGTCTAAACCAGGTCTAAACCAGGACCAAACCAGGACTAAGCCAGGCTTAAATTAGGACCAAACCAGGTCTAAAGGACTAAAGCAGGTATGGTAAATATGTAGCCTGATGTCTCCATATATTGTGCTACTACGGAAACACATTGGTTAAAAATAGCCTGTTTTTTACATTACTGAGTCTTATTAAAGCATGGGAAGCAGACACATTCATTTTAGTTAAGTGGGCTTTTGATACAGCACTATTCTCTGTGATCGGTCAAAACCTTCTAAAATTAGCTTAGAATCATGTTATGGTTTCTCATTATTTATCCTCAAATTTAAATTATGATCAGCTGTTTATCTAACTGTGTTTCTCAAATTGGGGTCCATGGTCCCATTTATAGCGCATTTATGCCTTAATTATGGTGATATGCAGATCAGGAAATAGGGTGCATTCACACTTATGTATGGTTTGGTCCTGGTTTGATCTCATTTTAGTCCTGACTTTGATTTGGTCCTGTTATAGTCCTGATCTAGTCCTGGTCTTGTCCCTATTCTAATGTGATGTTTGTGGAAGTCAGAACTAGAGAAGTTATGATGAATACTACGCTGACTTATCATTCAGTATATGACAGAAATAGATGGAATCATATGTTTTGGGGATCCATATTTATCGTGAGTACTTTTTTCTTTGTGCTAGTGGGAATTGTGTAATATTTACTTCACCAATTAAAAAAACATTTAAAATTTGCTGTAGGGACAGGCCTAGTCTAAACACCGGCTTTGGTACCATTTTAGGTCTGGATTTGAGAGTGATGCTTAGTCATGGTTTAGGCATGTTTTCATTTATTTAGTATGGAAGGACAGTGCAGTCGATAATAAGAGAAAGAAATGATTCAACAACTGTAAAACAACAAAAAACATTACTAATACAATGACTAGGTTTCAGATGACATCACAACTTACTACAGCTCAATATTACTTAATACAGATGGCTCAGCTAAAGTGAATATTGTTAAAATGCTGGTTTGGGTTCTAATAGAGTGAGTTCTTGAGTCTAGTCACTAATAGAAATGATCAGATACAACATTTGTGATTTTACCTTTGAGATAACTCATGACAAAGTACAGTGTAATCAATATGAAAAATTGGCTCTTGCCCCCCATCTGGGAGTATGACATCATCACTTTCTTGAAACCAAAAGTACCAATAGTGTTGTTAAAATGTGGATCTCTAGACTCTAATCTAACCTAAAACTAGACACTAATTTGGACAAGTATTGATTCTGAAAAATACGATTACACAATTTTTCCATTTCCATTTTATAATGATCTATAGCAGCACAAGTATAAGACCTCCTGCAGGTTAAACATTGCATAGATATATTGGTTTGAATGCTGGGGCACTGGTTCTTACAGCTGTTTACATGACAGAGTGATTGATTACTGTACATTATGCAAATTACTCTCACTTAAAGGAACCTCTCCAAATCAACACGTGCAGGTTTAACTAAAGGTAATATTGCCATCTAGTGGTCAATATAATGCACAATTTCTTTCAAGTAAAATAGAAAAAATCATAACAGCAACAGAGATAGAGACATTTTAAAGGATAATTTTTGAAGCTAAAATATGTGATTTAAATAAAACATGTTCCAAAAAATAGTTGTTGCTTGTAGATTTTAATTGTTTTGTTTAGACTCATTTTTTCACACGTCTTTCATATTTTTCAGTGTGTCTGGGGGTGAGCTGTTTGACCGCATCATAGAAAAAGGCTTCTACACAGAGAAAGATGCAAGTAAACTCATCCAGCAGATTCTAGATGCTGTGAAATACCTCCATGACATGGGCATCGTGCACCGAGATCTCAAGGTGAGACTCTGCAGACATGCACACTCGTTTACCACATTATGATGGGACTCAACTAACCAGGACTATGCCAGGACTACACTAGGACTAAACAAGACCAAATTTGGAACTCCACAACCTGGAACTAAACTTGGACCTGTACACGTTTCAGCCGGAGAACCTCCTGTACTACAGCATGGACGAGGACTCTAAGATCATGATCAGTGACTTTGGTTTGTCTAAAATCGAGGGAGTGGGGAGTGTCATGTCCACAGCCTGTGGGACCCCGGGATATGTCGGTAAGTCAAATATCAACTCTATACTATTAGGCTTTTTTTTTTAACACTTACTTTTCCACTTCATTATTTCAGTAATATTAATGTCTATACAAAGCTAAAGCTTTTGCTTTATTTCAGCCCCTGAAGTGTTGGCTCAGAAGCCCTATAGTAAAGCAGTGGACTGCTGGTCTATTGGAGTCATTGCATATATTCTGTAAGAAAATTCTGCAAAAAATACAAATTAGAACCAATCCTAACTAAATACAAAAAATAACAGTCTTTGCCTCTTGTAGATTGTGTGGATATCCTCCATTTTATGATGAAAATGATGCCAAACTGTTTGAGCAGATCCTAAGGGCTGAGTACGAGTTTGATTCTCCGTACTGGGACGACATCTCCGACTCTGGTACAGGAGCATGCAGAAATATGCATTCATCTAATCTAATCCATATAGATGTTGTTTCCATGACATGACACTGCACCAACTAGCTTAAATGGGTAATAATTTGCATTGAAAGTAGCTCACTGTGATTTCAGCCAAAGACTTCATTGTTCACCTGATGGAGAAAGACCCCAGTGTCCGATACACGTGTGATCAGGCTCTGCAGCATCCCTGGTATGTTTGTTTTTACATAAATTACTTTCATTTGATATAGTTTGTATTAATAGTTTTATATTTATTGCAGGATTGCTGGAGACACGGCTCTGGATAAGAACATTCATGAATCTGTCAGTGCACAAATCAAGAAAAACTTTGCCAAAAGTAAATGGAAGGTGAGTCCAATCCTTCATGCACATTATTGTTTACATACATGTGTTCCAATGATACAAGCTTAAAAATGTAAATTCATGTCATTATATAATTTAGATGAGGTTGAGTAAGTTAGTCCTACAGTGAAGAATTAATTCAGTCACTTTTATTTAAACAGCTCTTTTATTTAGGCTTTATAATACTGTTTTTCTGTTGAGAGAGCTCCACAGTGAAAATAATGATGTTTTGTTGTCTCTCTTTTGCAGCAAGCGTTCAATGCCACAGCAGTGGTTCGTCACATGAGGAGGCTGCAGCTCGGCACCAGCTCAGAGGGACCCACATCTCTGCCTAGCCCCTGCAGGAACCAACTGCTGCCAGAGGAGTGCTCAGGTGAGGAAAGCAAGCACACACCTGTCTCCTGTATACTGGACTGATCTTATTCCACCCACTTTTGCCTCTAAATGTGACTTCCAGTTAAACAGGAATCCTACTCATTTCACTGGAGAATTTGAAAAGTGTTTTGCCTAAAATATAATGTAAAGTAGGTTGATTTGTGCAAATGTTTAGTTTCCATGTGAACCAACAAGGCAACAATGCACCGATTCTCCTTTTAAAACAGCTTTGTAGACTGTATAGAACTTATTTGCTGTCAAGATACAATAGGTAGCCTCAAATTAGTACAACCCCAATGACAATGGTGGCGCCCATAGCAACTTCTAGAATACAGTGCAAAAACAAGCATGAAGAGAGCTTTTCAGTCAGTTTAAGTGCTGTTGTCTAGTGTAGTAGCAGTAGTTGTAGTTGAAATAGTTGGTAATTTTAAAGCGTTTGTTAATTTTTGGTTTATTAATAGGTCAAAAACAGTCTTCCCAAACAAAGAAGACATGAGATCAATTACCCAGGTACCATGTTGAATAGTAGTAGGAGTAGCAGTAAGTAATAGTAGTAAGTAGTAGTTGGTAGTAGTAGTAAGTAGTTGTAGCTGCTGTTGTTTTTCCAGTAGTAATTAATTTGTATTAAGTAGTAACGAGAGTAGGTTGGCACAGCAGTAGAATACAGCAAGAGTTGTAGTAGTAGCCATACTTAAGTAGCAGCACCACAGGAGTTAGAGGGTAATTCTAGTAAAGGTATTTTTAAACGATAAAAGCAAATTTTGAAGACTCTTGCATGAATTTAAAGTTTTTTAAAGTCTGAAATCATTTCACAACTCCCAGGTTGAGAATCACTGATGAAAGAGGCCTGATATATATACAAGTTTAGATCAGGGGGTACTTGAAAGCCCAAAGGTGAAATTTGATATGGAAAAGCTTAAAAACGGCTCCACATTATTGAGTTTTTCTTGAATTAACCAAAAATCTCGCAAAAGAAAGTTCAATTCTCTCAAATGGACAAAAATGTAAATCCAAGTAGCTTGTTCTTCTTCTTTTGCTATAGAACCTACCTGGACCACTGAGGGATTACACAGACTAACCAAAAACCTGTCTCTTTTCCTCAGAGGGCCGATGTGAAGGTGGTGTGGATAGTACTAACTGCACATAACACACTGGACTGTAGCAGGACGTGCTCTCCTCCTGCTTTTATTTAACATCAAAACCACAACAACAGAATCACCCAGAGACTTCACTCCTCTTTGAAAACTTCTGCTCTGGGTCTATTACTCTACTGCAGCGTCACTCCATCCTGCAGCCTGAGGGGGGCGCTCTCACACTGCCTCCCAGCCGCAAACAAAGGGCCAGAGGTGAAGAGAGAGAGAAGAGGAGACGGTACAAAACTGGTTGAAGATAGAAGATGGATAATTTAAATATGTTTTTGGATATATTGGCTGATGCAGGTTAAGATGGAGATTGGTTTTATTCACAAAATTGACATTTCATTTTAGTAATTAATGCTGTTTTTATATTTTTCTGTGATTTTAACAGCTTATATTTGTGCATGAAGGGAAATAGATTGCATTTATTGAAATTTTATTTAAAAAATGTTTAGTGGGTTTCATCTTGAGAACCTTAATTAGCTTTTCTTTTTTGTCATTTTTGCAATCTTGCCAACAACACAGCCTCATCAGACTGACAAATAATATATTAAACAAACTCCATAATAATTTTGTTTCACCCTGTAAAGAATATCTGCCCAGTGTTTACTCTTGGGCCCTCCAACTTATAATTCAGAAGATAAAAACAACTTAAAAGTAAAAGTACACTGTTTAAAGCTACTATATGAGAGAGGAGGCATATGGGTTACTTTATTGGTCTGTTTAAATGAAAGGGATTTTTTATTATTATTATTATTTTTATATTCTAATTACTACAATGTGCTCCTTGTCTTCATTTTTGGAGTTCGACTGGGGTAAGGTTTGACGAATATGTTTTATCTTGAGCATACTTTACTAATACTCTTGATTAGATTGAAGTAAAGACAACTAAGGTAACTTAATGTACATGTGTAATTTGTTCTTTAGTCATAACTGAGCAAAAATTTTATAGAAGTTTTGAGCAGAGATGAGATCGAACCTTTCTTTCTTTGTAATAGCAGCCTCTGGCCTGTAGTGGGAGCAGTCTGTCCATGTAGTGACCTGTGCTTTTGACAATCCTTTCTAGAGTAGCTTATGCAAAAAAAACTGTAGCCTTTTGTTCAGTTATGATGGTGATTTATGTTGTGGTGACTTAACAAATCTTACCTGGAGTTTTAGAGTAACATTATGTAAGATTTTGATTTTAAATTTCATAAACATTACCTTATTTGTGTCCTTAGATATGAGGTAAACTTGTTCAAATCAAATATTGCTTTACTGATAACAATTGCTGATTTCAATTACAAAACCAGTTACAAAACCTTTGGACATGATAGTCAAATTGTTTATGTTATAATTTGGTGGTTCTAAGGACGATAACCATTCAGAAAGCAGAATGATCCTTACATAAGTCAAAGCAGGTTTAGTTGTGATGTTGAATACCTTTTTAAATCAAATTATTTGTTATGAATCTCCCAAATATAATTGTGTAGCACATCCTCAAGATCGAGGAGCTATTTAACATTGAAAGAAAAATGTGTTGATGTCATAAAGGATATTTTAACAAATTTTTGTGGTTACTTTAGTGTCTATTGTGCTAAATGTGGTCTTTTAATGTACATTTCAGCACATTTCTAATAGATTTTAAACATATAATCAGATTTTTCTTAGCAGGACAGTCCAAAATATACTGAGATATTCAGTTTTGTCCTGTACGCAGGTCAGGTACTTGGTTGTGCTTTATTATTTGTAAAATCAAATCAAAAGATACAAAAAGTGAAAATCTGTAAGGGTTATGTCTATTCATTTGTAGCTATATGTTTTATTATGAGACAACAGTGACACAAAATGTAAAGCAAATCATTCTGTATCTCAAAGGTTGGGAGTACAAATCCCCGTCTCCCCAATGCATGTAGCTTTTGTGTCATTGGGCAAGACACTCCTCACACCGTTTGAGCCCACTTTATGACCTGATTGTGTAGGTTTGATCCTGGTTTAGTTTGGGGTTTACTTCAAGTTAAGTCCTAATTTTGATGTAGGTGCTGAAAGGTAGCCATGTCTGCCAGTCAGGTTGCGAAGAATTGACAGAAGTAATTGGGAAAACTCTTTACCATACCCCTCTTCTTCCTGTATGTTTTGTGGTGCCTTTAAGAGCAGAGCAGCAGTTTTTGGTGGTTCTCTGTGCTTCAAACTTTGGACCATTTTTGCACAAATTTCCATTGTTTTGTAGCAGTGAAATGCAGTCAGTGTAGGAAAAAATACGTTTTAAAGGTGCATTATGTAACTTTTCGGGGATGGAGTGTGATACCTGGTTGTCTCCATGGAGATGTTGTCGCTTTGCCTTAAATGTTCCACACTATGTCATCAAACCTATTCATTAACCACTCTTTAGCTTTTTTTTTCCTTCATTACGGGTTTTTTATTGCTCAAAAATCACTTGAAAAACATTATCTTTTGCAGTGAGAGATGTCACCTCTTCCCTGATCTGACCTGTAACATAACCTGGTACTGTCATCTGCTTGTCTCCATGGTGATTGATTTTAAGTTTAAAGCCATTAAAATAAAAGCAATGGACATAAGCAGCTGGCAGACCTTCCACTAGAAAAGTTACATAGAGCACCTTTAAACAGCAAAGATTTAAGATTTTATTTTATTTTTTCATAGAGTATATTGATCTATATATCTATATCTATGAGGGGTTTTGTATTCTGTAAAATAACATGCTTTGTTTGTGGAATGGACCTATGTGTAATGATAGAAATGAACACAGAGTATTTTTACTGGTGAGACTTTTGTTTGAAACAGTTGAGGATTTGAGCAGTGGTTCTATCGTGTTTTTATGGGGCAGTATTTCAAAAAGAAAGCCTGGAGTATGTAGCTCTCAGGGTGGAGGGTGAATTCATTTATTGTTTTGAATATTGACAACATAATGTCTAATTTGTCCTTAAAGAAAACAACATAAAAGCTACCAATTTGCTCTCATCAGTAGGTATTTCTTATGGTGGTAGTTATAGTTTTCTATTTTGTCCCAAGTGTATTGATTTTAGGTTTTAAAGCCACAGTATGTAATGTTTAGCCAAATAAATTGACTGAAATAAAATGCTTTTTCATTTTGGTGTTTATGGCACTGAAAAATCTGGGTCCTTACTCAGAGCGGGCTTGCATCTCCACAAACCAGGCTCTTATTTGGCCTGGAGGAGGACCTTTTCCTGCTTGTTTCCACATAAATGTTTCAAATTATGGTTTTGACGCAATGACGTGCCACCTCCAGAAAGTGACATACTGTATCTTTAGGTTAAGTTTGATTTTGCTAAAGTTCAGTATTTCAGCATGCACTTGGTTATTGTTTAATCCATACAGGTCTGTGTTACAAAAAAACAAAACTTGCTGAAATGTAGCTCTTACTTTTTCAGATTATATTGGGTATATAAACTGATTTTACATGCGGTTTAAGAGTAGACTTACAGGCAATGATTGTGGTCTTGTGATGCTCTGTAAAAATACTTCTACGCTTACAGCACCGTTCGTTATAAACCCCAAAATCATTCTTATCCCAAAAAAGGCTTGAATTGAATTGTCTTCATTTTTCATTGGCATTGAAGTGTTTGAACGTGTATTACTCTACTGGTCTGGTATGAATGTGAACCAAATCATTACATCACCATCTTCCACCACAAAAAGCAAAAAAACGTGTCAATAAAAAAGCAGAATGGGGTGCTAACTACATGTTTACAATATCTTACTCAGAGAAAAAAAGATTTAAAATGATTCTATTTTACTTTTTAGTTAGTACAAACATTACAATTGTGTTGTCATTTGAGGATTTTAAGATTTGTGCAGTAAATACAGTATGTTGCCTTGTCTTGAGTTGTAGCTTTTGGTCGGTGCAATGCATTCTGGGTTGTTGAAAGTGATTAAAATCTTGTCTATGCAGTACTAGTGTGTCGTCTCTTCATCTAAATAGTAATTCATATTATTTTTTGGACACATACTTAAAGGCACCAGACCAGTTATTTCCCCATGGTTTTGAGGAAAATATGTCCAGATACAAATATTAGTATGTTGGATAGGAACTCTTGAGATCAAATTAGGTCAGTTGCGAGCTGTCCGTATCTGTATCTGCCTTTTGAGTAATTTCCTGATACACAGTAATTTAATACTTCAAATACATATGGATAGCTACTGGCCTCATTAGACATACAGTCATTCTCTCACTCTAATCATGCTTCTAGAATTACAGATTTTTAAGTCATTATTTACTCCCTAATTTCACAATATTTCTTTTTTACCATATAGGTGGGAAAAAACAGTTTAACTATTTGAGGAATCATTTGGAAGGAGGTGGTTCAATCCCTGCTCCCTCTAGTGCACACCGCCATTATGTCCTTGGGCAAGATACTTCAAAGTGCATGAATGGTTCTTTTTGAGAGCTCAATAGAGGAGGTCTAGTTTAGAAAAGGATTTAAACCAGACCATTTGTAATTACAATTATTATGGCTATTACTTATTTTACCAACTACTAGCCAAGCCAAAACCCCCAAATATTTTCACATTTTGTTCTTTTGCATTTTTGCAGTTTTTGATTCAATGTTATTGCTGTGTATAAATCGATTAAACATGGCTTCCATGAACAAAAACAAGACTTCAATAGGAATTCAATAAAAATAGTCTTCAAAGTTTCAAAGTCTCTGCTCCAAATCACATGTTTTGAGTGAATGAGCATTGGCTTTAGACTTCTCAGTTAAAATGACCCAAAAACTGATCATTGATAGTCCAAACGATTGGATCTCGATTCAGTAAATATGTATTTAAGGGCCCATATTACTCTATTTTCTGATCTATGCTATAATGTTTCCTCCTCAAAAACATACCTGGGGTTGTGTTTTGTTTCATTCACACATGTTTAACACACACTTCTTGCAGTTCTTGACTTCTTCTCTCAAACGGAAAACACCCTGTTCCATTTGTGATGTCATGTGGTAATACAAGAAGTCAGAGGTGGAACCAAGTTGTTGTTTTGCAAGTCTCAAGTAAGTCTCCAGTCTTTGGCCTCAAGTCCAAGTCAAGTCCCAAGTCAAAGACAATCAAGTCCAAGTCGAGTCTCGAGTCACTTACTCATAAGTCCAAGTCAAGTCCAAGTCGTCTGCTTTGAGCTTCAAGTCATTTCAAGTCTTTAAACCAAAGCACCAAATGTAGTTTAGATTTTTGCAATTTATATAAATTTTAAGCTAAACTGTACTTAATAAATCATGGTATATTTCTATATGAGTATTTATATGAGAGTTGTAGAAATGTTAATTTTTCCTTTTTAATTGTCTTGTCAAGATCTTAGTGTGAATCATTACAGTCAGAATAGAAAGAATTCAGATTTAAAAGTGCTAAATAACAGTTATTTTGTCATGAAGGATCATGTTCTCTGTAGTTCTCTCAGTATTGTGCTGTATTGTACTGCATTGTACTGTATTGTACTGTATATTACTGTAGTACATTTGAAGATACCATCTCACAGTAATTCAGTTCCATCCAAAAGTAACAAATAGAGAAGTGGGAGGAACATGTTCCAGTTGGTTCCTGTAAAATTCAGCACCACATTTATCAACTGCAAAGAGAAAAGTATTTTCTAAAAACATTTTTTAAGGAGAAGCACCAAGTCTTCTTAAGTCACAGGCCTCAAGTCCGAGTCAAGTCCTGAGTCACTGACCTTCAAGTCCAAGTCGAGTCCCAAGTCTTAGTCCATTTTATCAGGTTAAGTCTCAAGTCCTAAAAACAGTGACTTAAATCTGATTCGAGTCCAAGTCACGACTTGCAAGTCCCCACCTCTGCAAGAAATTCTCCACTGAGTTTTTATACTCTATACTCCTTTACTAGAATCATTTGGATCATTTCACCCCATCTTTATTAATCAAAACTAAATGTTAGCTGTCAACTTGAAAACTACCACCACAATATTTTGAATTTTGGAGATGTAGACAATAATAATAAAGAATTACTCAAACATGTGTCAACTCGAAGTATGTTTTTTAGCACCCTTCCAACATGACTGAAAGCTCACGAGTCAATTTTGCAACATATAGGACCATTCATTGCACAATCCAAACCTGATAGAAAGTTTTTGCTGAAAATAATCCAGCAAACTGCACCTAATAAAGTGGCCTCTCCATTGTGTATATTTTAAATACAGTGATTTCCTTTTGCAAACTCAACACATCCTTTTCTGACATAAGTACTACCTTACCTCCGCAACCTCTGGCCCTGCTGCGGTCTACCCTCTGTGCCAGTGTCGGAGCATGCCCCATGGAATTCTGGGTAATTTCAGGCATGTGGTTTGGCTGCTGTGGGTCTGGAAATGATGCGGTCGAACCAGGAACAAGCTGCAACTCCGAAAAACACGTCACAAAATACAGAGAGCGGAGAAAAAATCAGAGAGACAAAACCACAAGTACAGAGAGGAGAGAGGGAGAGGAGGCAGCAGGGGAGAGGATTTAGACTGAAAATGTTAGGATTCAGTTACTTTAAAAATAAAACTGCAACGTTAGACAAAGATGATACTGTTAATTATGTTCTCCCTAGTTCTCTGCAGCTGTTTCGTTTAAAGGGCCAATTTTACGCTGCTTTCTGATCTGTTATAATGTAATTTCCTCATCACAAACATACCTGGAGTTTTGTTTTGTTTCTGTTTCACCTTGTGATGTCATGTGGTAATAGAGGAAGTGCTCCACTGTTTTTTTTTTTTAATTCCATACGCATTTACTAGAATCATTTGGATCAATTCAGGCCCTAGAATTGCAAAGCTACTGAACTAAAGGTAAATGGAGCTTGAAAACCAACCACTACATGACATCACAAGGTGGAACGGAGCATTTTGAGTGCTGGAGATGTAGACAGACTAATAAGAAAGGATTACTCAAACATGTGAATGAAACAAAACACAACTCCTGGTCTGTTTTTTGATGAGGTAACAACATTATAACAATACTCAAAAGAGTCCATTTTGCAGAATATGGGAACTTTAAATTTAACAATGTACTGTGTAGCTTTTCTGGTGCAGGGTCTGCCACCTGGTTGTGTCCATGATTCTATTGGTTTACCTGGAAAGTTCCACAGTGTGGCATTAAAAGTAATCAGCTGGCACCTCCAGACAAGAAGTTACAGGTCTAGAGATCTATGGAGAGATTAAACCGCTCACAGTCATAATGCGTGTTTTTCAGGTTCCTTTTGAGCTTTTAGAAGTACCTGTAACGAAAGCAAGTTTTAATGATATACTGTGGAACATCCCCGGCAAAGCAACATCATTGCCATAGAGACAAGGAGGTGATTGTGGCAGAGTTGGCATCAGAAAAGTTGCACCTTACACCAAATGCTTAAAGGTGACTTTGTTAAAGGGACAGTTGGGAATTTTGGACATAGGACCGTATTTCATAGTCAGCCAGAGTTTTGGAGCCATGTGAAGACACTTTTTAAAATATTCCATCCAGTTCTTGTATTTGCAGAGGTCACTGATGCATGGCCATGCTAGTGCATGGCCATAGTTAGCCTGCCACTCCACAAAACACCTGAAGCAAAACAATTACTACGCCAGTCTGTTGATGTGAATGTCTGTGTCGATAGAATAATTTAAGAAGTCAAAACAACCTTGCATTTGAAGGATTTATGTCTGAGCAGCAGCAGTGAGTTGTACTTCCTGATAGAAAGCTTGGCAGTGGCGGAATGATATATGAGAAAATAGTTCCTCAAAATGTGACGATTCATGCAATGCAAGGTTAGTTTTATTTCAAACATTATTCTATCAACACAGACATTCCCATCGACAGTCTAGTGTAATAATAGTTTTGCTTCGGGTGTTTTGTGGAGTGAGTAAGACTGTTTTTAGTGGCAGGCTAACTATGGCCAATGACATGCACTAGCCTAGCACCAGCGACTTCTGTAAATACAAGGACTGGATGGAATATTTAAAAAAGTGTCTTCACATGGCTCCAACACTCTGGCTCACTAGGAAATGAGGCCCTATGTCCAAAATTCCCAATTGTCCCTTTAATTGAGTTTGAATTTGATTCCAATTAAAGATAAATTATGACTTGTTTGTTTTTCTCTACCTCCTTG